CAGCTTGCTGGGCTCACCTCCAAAATAGCTGATTTAGTGGGTGGATTAGTTTCTTGTGGCTGCTGTAACAAATTACCATAAATAGGAAGGCTTAAAGCAACCAGAAGTCTGCAAACAATATTACTGGGCTAAAATCTGGGGAGAATCTGTCCTCTGTCTCTTCCAGCTTCTGGTGGCTACTGGCATTCCTTGGCTTGTGGTTGTATCACTCCCGTCTCTAACTCCGTCTTCACATGGCCTCTCTGTTTTGTGTATCAGATCTTCCTCTGCTTCTTTCTTGCAAGAGAACTTGTTATAGTGTTTTGGGCCCATCCAGATAATTCAGGATAATCAACCCATCTTAAGACAGGTTCTAGGGGTTGGGATCTGATATCTTTGGAGGTTGTTATCAGTCTACCATAGATGGAGTCCGAGAATTTGCATTTCTAGTAAGTTTCCAGGTGATGCTGATGCTACTTGTCCAGGGACCACACTTAGAAAACCAGTGACCAAGTGACTTCCTGCTTGTACTCCCAAATTTGGCACAGAGGCTCTCTCCTCTGTGAGACCTTCCTTTTAACATCTGAGTGAGTTTGGCTACCTCCACCTTTGTGTCCTTTCTCTGCCTTGAACTTTCCCTGTAGAGTCTTTGTTAACTGTATGACATCTTTTTGTCCGTAATTGTTTCATTTAATCTACTGAAACCCTTGTCTTGTTAGTTCTATGTCTCCAAGACTTTGCCTGATATATAGTAGATGTTCAGTAAATTCTCACTGCTTGAAATTAAAAGGCCAAAAGAACAAGGAGACATTCTTAATTCTATTCAGAGCTAATTCAATGTGGAAACTGTCACCAAATGAGCAATGCTAGCGTGCACTCTGATATCTCATTATTCCTTCAACACTGTTCAGGAATTAACAGTATTTCACCATTTCGTTTTCATTGATTTGAGATCACAGACAAATCACCGAGGGAGCCCCAAAAGCTGGGCTTTGTGGGTGATTATTATTCTAGCTACAATAGCTGTTCTCGCATTTCTCTTATTAGAAGAATTAGCTCCAGGTGACATTGTGAAGAAGGCCCAGTGTGTAGTAATAAGTGTTGTTTGCCATGCTTCTCTCTCCATGAGTATCTTTCATGTCATTTCTCAAGAGGAGAGTCTCTTGTTCCACGTTCGTTGCCATGCCATGAGACTCCTGAAAGCAGAGGTGGGCCGTGTGCATCTCTGTGTCCCTGCGGTACCTGGCACAGTACCTGGCACACAGGAGGGGTCCCGCTAAGTCTTTTCAGATTTGAAATGAATCTGTGCAATTTAGCTAGAGCTCGCTCTCCCACCTTTGTCGCTGGCATACTTAGTGTCTTGAATACTAAGAATCTCATTCCCGCAGCTTCCTGCTGGGCCAGGCTGGAGACTGGGGCAGTCCAGGGAAGATTCCTCCTCTTTTGCCCTCATACCTCTCAGACTTGACATCTTAGATTCCACACAACCAAACTGTATCCCCAATTCATGGTTAATTGTCACTCTTATTTGTCCTGAAAATATACACCTGATTCTTTTGTTCAGAAATTCCTTCCTTCTTTTCCAACACTCCCCAGGGCACTCAATGTCCACCCCACATGTGACTCTTCTTTCATTCTGTAACTATGTCCATGCACATAAAGACACACTCCTAGCATACTGTACTAGACTTTATGTACTCATTGAAGTCTTCCCCAAACCCCGTGACAGTGGGGTTAATATGAGCCCCCAGAGTATGAAGACACTATTGATTTTAAGAAGCATTATGGATTGGATGTAGCCTTTCAGCAAAAGAAACAGAAAACCATTAAAAGATAAAGAGAATATAAAAATCACTATGCTACAGTAACAACAAGCATAATAACTAAGGCTCCTAAAGAGTTCACCATGTGCCAGCCTCAGAGCTTTACCTGTAGTATGTCATTTAATTGTCACCACTCCCCTGTATGATATAAATAATCTTCTATTCCTGTTATCCTCAACACAACTACAGAAACCTCCTGCACTAAGCAAGGCAGTTCACTTAGGCTCCATAGCTGATGCCCTTAAACTATGAATTTCAGGTTTAGTCCAAGTATAGCACATGTGGAGAAAAATGTGCAGCTTGATGATTTTCACGGAGTGAAAACACCCATTTAACCACCACCCAGCTCGGTCAATCAAACATTATCAGCATCACATCAGCCCTTCACACTTCCCCCCAGTCACTGTCCCTCCATCACCCAAAGGTAATCCCTGTCCTTTCTCCTACCATCATAAATTGATTTTTTTTACTAATTAGTAAAACTAGGTTTTTGGTCTTTATACAAACACATAACATTCTTTTGTGTGGTCTCCATAATTCAACATTCATTTGCGAGATTCGTCCATGGTGATGTGTGGGGTTGTGTTCATTCATATTCGTCATTAACAGCATGCCATTGTATGATTATTCCATAATTATCTACTTTTTTTGTTGATGGACATTTGTGGCTTTTTGTCCAGCTCTTTGCCTCTTTTCTTTCCAGTGCTACTATTAGTATTTTTGTACATATTATCTGTGGTGCATGTATACATGTTTCTGTTAGGCATATTCTTTGGGGTGAAGTTGGTGGGTTATAGGGTATGTATACACCCAACTTTAGTAGATTCTGCTCAACAGGTCTACATAGTGTTTATACCTACTTATACTCCCACTGTAAGGATATAAAAGTTCCAGTTGCTCTATATCCTCACCAACATTTGTTATCATTAGTTGTTTTAAATTTAGCCATCCTAACTAATGAGTCACAGCCTGTATGTTTGCTTACTAAGTTGTTCTTCCTCCTATGGCGTGAGGTCCCATGCTTTCCCCAGAATTTATCACAGACCAAAAAGCAAAGAATCAACTTGCAATGCACGTTCAAGTTTCCCTCTCTAATCCTACTGTGATGCTTACCTTCTGTTTCCCTTTGACTCTGCTTTTCCACATAGTCTTTCCTCTAATCTCTCTGCTGTGATTCCATGGCAGTATTATTGGCTATCTATAATTATGATCTATTATTTATTACCTTTCTAACGTATCATCTGGCTGTAACTTATTAATTCTTTAAACACCCATGATATGCTTGCCTGGGCAATGTCATGTCAAACAAGGTTTATTAGCACAGCTTGGAAAATTCAATCTACATAATGCAGATTCTTTCAAATGGTGATGATTGCAATCTTCTACCCACCATTGTAGATCAGGGGTTGAAACATGGTTTCATCACATACTAATGAAGGCATCACTTTTATGCCTTAGGTTTGTTTATTTATTCATGTTTCGGTCTATGGAATGAAAATAATACTAGCATCACTTCATGGGGCTGATGCAAGGATGTAATGAGATAATATTAGTAAAGTAGCCCATAGGAAATGAAAGAGGGATAGGAAGTATTATTAATGTCACACTCTATGAGGAAAGCACTATTACTATCCTCATGTTGTAGACAAAGAAATGGAAACTTAGAGAAATGAAATTCGCCAAGATAATACAGTTCACACTTAATAGATATGGGATTCTAACCCAGTTCTACCCAACTCCAGAGTGCATGTTACCAACAGAGAGTCTGACAGCTATGTTTCTGTATCTTCACCGAAATCAGGAAGGCAAAGCCAACAACAGTATGGAACTCTGAGGATAGCTAGTCAAGACCTTTTTTTTTGCTTTAGTTGATTTCAGACAAAGTAATTTAGTTGCTTTCAGACAAGGAGTTTGAGAATAGTTCTTCAACCAGATGATCCTTGCTCCCTCTTTAAAATATGTAATGCAGAGAGATCTTAGCACCTGCTTCATTAAAATCGCATCTACTTCAATTCTATAAAAAAATGGAAATAATGGCGATTCTCCACAAATCAATTTGTGTGTATGTGTGAAAACATCTTAGTTCCTAGTAATTATTGCTTCGTTTCCTAAGTGCAACCCCTTTATTGATCTATTCTTTTTAAAACAACCTCATTTGGGAAATATTAATATTCTAACAAAGCATGCTAGTTTCCTCTGTCCAAGTGGAAGTTGACAAGGTGAGAGTAAACACACTGCAAAGCAGGATAACTGGGTTCTAGGAGCTTTCTATGAAGATGTCACAGATATACTGATAATATCTTGATTCAGAATGACCCAAAGGCAGCTATGGAGTGGTCAGATAACAGTCACTAGTAGTCAGGGGGTCCATGTTTTAATTCTAGGTCACAAGCCAATAAGCTTGTGTGTGTACATGCCAGTTTTAGATGTAAAACTAGAGTCTACTTTTGGTAACATCAAATTTCTGGAATGCTTCCCTTAATCAAATTGAGAGAAATAAACCCTCCAAGAGAAAGCTCCAGAACAGTGCTAGGATCAGATCTAAGACAACACACTTAATTAAATCAATAAACATTTAGTAGATGTCCAATATGTACTAGGAACTGGGGATTAAAAAGCTAAATAAGTTATTTTCCTTGACCTTGAGAAGTGCACCACATAATGGGACAGGAGGATATGTAAGAAACTAATCTGTACGCAGTAGAGTGAGTCTATAATGAAGTTAGCTACAAAGTGCAAGGCATGTAAGAAATGTAGTCTCCATCCTTTCATGAGTAAAATACGAAAAGATTTAACCTGGACATTTAAAATTCATGGATTAGCCCAAAGTCCATCCCCAGTAGCGGGGTCACAATAGGTAGCATCCCATTCTCTACACTTTTGCCTTTGGGACTCTCCTATATACTGTTAAGTAATAATCATTTGTAAGATAAGGTCATTAATGATCTCCTGATGAGCCAGACAATGTGTTAGACTCTTTTATACTTAATATCAACCCCAAAGGAGAGCAATAATGTGGAAATGTCAGGCACAGAGATGGAGGAGACTTTTGGGAACTTAGGAGCATGGCGTATTTGATATCTTTCACTACATCAACCAGGCAGCTGCCTTCACAAGAGTCCCTGTGATACTGGAACAGACAGACTTCCAGGGCTCCAAGAAGTCCTGGGTACAGGGTGCTGGAGACGACTTCCCTACCTGACATCTGCAGGGTCTTCCGTGACGAGCACGTCGGTCTTGCAGCTGGCCAGGGGGTTGATGGACAGCTCCACAGGCGGGACCACAAAGCTTTTGCTGACGGGAAGCCAGAGGCCTTGGCCCAAGCTGAAAGTAGACCTGCAATGTAAGAGTTTCCATTGGGGAAGTCCCTGGCGAGCAGACAGCAAATAGTAAAAAGGGGCCCCTGGTCCCACCCCTTTTAGGACATTTTCTTATTTCTCCACCCAACTCCCCTGCATTCTTCAAGGCATGATGTTGGCCAACTCTGTCCACACTTGGATGATCATTTCTAAAATCGGTCAGTCATTTAGCCCACGCATTGCTTTGCATTGCTAGTTTTCTTTCCCCGAGTAAACAGTGGACTCTGTGAGGGTGGGGACTGTTTCAGCTCTGCCTTCCCAGCAGTCAGCCCTGATATCCAGCAGGAGTTCCACGTGTGACTGCCGAGTCAGCGGGGGCAGTCTGACACAAAGGTTAAGGGCGTGGACTCCAAATTCATTTGAACCAAAATCCGATTCCCAGTTCTGCCACCTAATTTGCTATATGCCTTTATCCGCCTAAGTGTTGAAATTTTACACAAGATTTCATGGAGGTGGTGGTAAGAGGTTCTGTAGCTACAGAATATTCCTAATTAGTAATGTCTCCTCCAGTTCAAGTATCTGAGTCTATAAGTCTGGATGCCAGACAAATGGGAATTAGACTTCCATAGCAACCTGAGCCACGATGGTATTAATATACATGAGTCCCAGTGACAGTGCAGCCCAGAGGTGCATGAGCTCAATAGTCTGAGGATGCATGACCACACCTCCCTACCAGACCTTTCTCCATTTCCCCAAATTATTCCCCAACAAGACTGTCAACTCACCTGAGAATCTTTTCAGGGGCTTGCTCGCCCGTCACCAGATCATAGCCCCTCTCGAGTGTCGTGTAAGGCCAAGGTCTATGAGAAGAAGAAAAGGGAAGAGGAGATGGTATTAGTCAGAGCAGGTGGGATTCATACGTGCACACTGCTCAAGAGTTGCTTTACACACAACCAAATTCTGCAGAAGTAATTATTGGGCACGACTATTTACATTATAAAAGTCGGTCTCCAATTTACAGCAGTCAGCACTTTTATAAAGTGTCCACGTCCATTTACAAGTCTATGTACAAAAGCCTGAATCGTGTTCCTTGTCTGTCCACTTGAGGACGTGTTCATTGATTACTTTCTGTTTGGGCGAGTGACTTAAATGTCAGCCTTTTTTTTTTTCCTCTAGAAGAGTCATCAATCATGTACTTTTAATACTAAAATGTGGGTCAGTGGGAAAGTGGAATTCACTTCCCATTGGGCTTTGCAGGAACAGAACTGCTGCAGAGAAAGCCTTCTCTGTGCAGACGCTTGGGGACTCTGGTAATGGAACGGGGGAAGGCGTGGGTCCTCCACCGTCCCAGCCCACATGCCCTTTGCTACTCACCCTTCACTCTGTCCCCAGTCACTACGCACACACAGGTGTCTGTGAACGGGGTCAGGGGCGTAGCCTTCATGACAGCTGCATTCTCCTGTAAGCAAAAAGAGAAAATAGTCTTGTGAAAGAGGCACTCCCCAAATAGGCTTTTCTCTGGCTTCCTCGTTTTCCAGGGAGATAAAGTAAGCACATAGTTTTAGAAAAAAAAACAACAGAAAGATGGTATTTTTGTCCATTGATCACTGTGGTTAATAGAGTCTATTCATTTGCTCATTCATTCACTTATTCATTCATTCAACAAGCCCTGGCCACATTCTGCCAGGGTCTCAGCTGGGCACTGGAGATGCAGAGGTCAGAGTTGCAACCTTGTTGATGAAGAAGCTCACTACTTAAAAGGGGGAAACGGTAAGTGATCAGGTGGCTACAGGCAGAGGTTTTATTCCCAAATATTTAAATTATGATAAAGCATTGTAACTGTACAAGTGTAAGCAGGAAATTGAAATCTCTCCATTTGAATGAATAGGTCATGGCCATCCATAAACCCCAAAGCAAATGCCAGCTTCCCCAAGAAACCTCTGATTTCCCCTTTTGGAGAAATCATTTTTTTTGCCTATTTCCTCTTGGTTTTACTTTGTTTTGTTTTTGTTGTGTTTTGATTTTTAAATTGGTTTTCCTCTCCTCTCCTTGCCTCCCTTGTCATCTCCTTTCTTGTCCTCTTTCCCTCCCTCTGCTCTTTCTGTTTCCCTTTTATTTCTTGCCTTGCCAGCCATCCATTCACATGTGCATCAATCCACCCATCATTTTTTGGAGGCCATGCCTTATGCCCAGTTGCATGAGTGCTTGCTAGCAGTCCACGCCGCCACGCTTCATTGTATCTGCTTGCATTGGCTGACTTAATTTCAGTCGGCCATCACATGTCTCCTTTCCTAGTGTGTCTTCAGAATCCTAGAAAGCTTTTCAGAAGCTCTCTGTCCTACCCCTTGCTGTTGTCATGTCTGCTCTCCTGTACACTTCTTAAGGTAGGAGAATGTTTTTGATTCTATGAGATACTGCTTTTTTTCCAAAGGTGTTTTCCTAGACATGTTTACAGATGCTTTGCCAAAAATAGATATTATTTTTTAAAAAAAAGTTTGGAAAATCCTATACCCTTCCTTAGAGTCAATATAGTATGATTCTCCTCGAGGGAGAATATGCAATTGCCCCCAAACTCATTTTACCTTTGGAGACTTGCTGGTGGAAGGACTCAGGATTAGCATTCTGTGGAACACATCCTGAGAAATGCTGGTAGAAACGGCCCTGGCTTAGCCTAATGCCTAGAACAGAGTTGGTGCTCAACAATGAGTTGAGTGAGTAATTAACTACCTCTATGGCTCTGGTAAATTTCCCGACTATTGCTGCCAGCTTGCCTGCTTTCTCATCCTATGGCAATCACATTCGTACGCACACAAACTCCCTCTCTCTCTCTCATATACAAACAGGACCCTCCTATCCTGCAGTGATTTGATTGATCTGACCCGAGAGTTTTCAAATCATGTCCATGGAAATGTATTGCTCAATGGAGGAGATTTAGGGACTGTGAAAATTTTAGATTTTAATTTTCCTTTAGAGGTTTTTTTTTTTTTTAATATCTTTTTAAAAATAAAAAAGTGAAGGATAAACACTCAGATGCCACATGCCAGAATTGAGAATACCAGAGAGCATCAGTTTTGCCAGGTAAACTTATTTTATTCAGGCTTCGGGGGAAAAAGCAAAAACAAACAAAAAAAACTCATCTCCTGTCATCTTTGTTTCATGGGGAAGGATACTGAGGGTGAGTCGAGGGACCAAGGCTAGTTGCAACTATGTATCTTGGAATTCAGGAATCTCTCAACCTGGTGCAACCACAACTCAATGTAGTAGCGAACAGGGTACTAAGGTAACACAAGTTCTACAGCTATCACTCATAGCTCCTCATTTCAGAACGCCTGTATTCGCCAAATAACTTCATTGTCTTCCTGATGAAATACAAATGTCATATGTTTGACTTTATATGAAGCATTCTGAGTGTCTAAAAATCATTCTAAGTTGTTGTATGTATTACACTGCTGCTTAATCTCTGTACTCCGGCAACTACTGAGTAGTTAGCAAGTAGCCTGGGCTTCAGGAATGTCAGCTGAACTAAAATGGTAGTAAGGCAGAACAGGGAGCGACGAATGGGTCGGAGATAGTGTCCAGAATGTTCAGAACGAGACTGTTGAAAGACAGAAGGAGAAACAGAAGAGAGAGAGCTACCCACCTACCTTTCCTCTTCTCTGTGTACCTGGGAGACAAGGAGGGTGCTGCTCCCAGGCACGGATGCTCAGTGCACCCCTCCCCCACAACTCCACACCTGGGATCCCACCCCACCCACCCAGTGGCAGCACTGTAAGTACATGTCACCTAAGTCCTAATGGACTGACTGTTGCCAGAGGGAAGGGAAAGAAGGGAAAGGACTGAGAGGCTTAAATTTGGAAGGGAATAATTTACCAACGGGAGGAGTGGTGGGAGTCACTAATGATGTGTTAAAATGCAACAGTCCCTTCATGAAATATTCACCACTTTAAACACGTCTAATATTAAAGATTAAAAGTCCTGGGATTTGTCCTCAAGACTCCCTGGACTGATTTATGATCTGCCACAAGCCACAGGCCTCATGATTCATAACAGCCGAGGTAAAATGGTTACCTCTGGCAAAGGAACAGGAAGTCAGGCTGGGGTGGGCGGGGACCAGCTTCCCTCTCTACGGAAAGGGCAGATGCTGAGGTTCCTATCTCGCTGATCAGGGACTGTGTGGAAAGAGGCACAATTCATTTATTTCTCCTTTCTCTCTCTCTCTCTCTCTCTCTTTTTTTTTTTTTGGTGGAAGGGATATTGGTGAGAATGAGAAATCTATTCAGAAAAAGGGTGCTGCTATGTATATATATATATATTTCCTCCTTGTGTGCTTATGAGGCAAGTTTTCCCTGACTCAGAATGGATCATTAATTACTGACACTCATTATACAACGAATGCGTATTTTGCAGTTGAGAGGCATCCACCCAGGGGGCCCCACGGGGCTGCCTGGAGAACAGGAGGTAGGCAGAGGGGGTCAGACAGACCTCTGTCCTACCCTCATGTTCTCTCTCCCTGGTTGTGTGGCCTTGGGGAAGTCACTCCACCTTTTTTGGCTTCAGTTTTCTCACTCTATAGAATGGGAATGATAGTAATGCCCATCTTACAGAGCTAATGTGAGAACAAATTGAAATAGTGAAGAGTGAAGTGCGTGGCTTAGGCAGACAATGAGTTGATGGTCAACAGATTAGTTTCCTCCCCTTTTCCTTGAATTCCAAGACAGGTGCCAGGTTCTGGTACACGTTCACATATTAACTCTAGAGACACAGTAATTACCTCCTTGCTGGGCCTGAGTTTCCCCATCTGCAAAACAGAAGGAAGGTTGGGGTGACGTTCATCAATTCTGAACACCAAGCGCCAGCCATTTGCGTTGTCTTTCAAAATCCCCACCCTTTGCTCTCTCGACACTGTTAGTTTTAGCTTCAACTGTGATCACTCTTAGTGTGGGCTGGGTGTCTCTGGCAAGATCTCCATCAATGCCATGGCTATTGGCTTTATTGACCCTTGCTTCCTATTTTGCTGGCTCAGCTAACCCTCTACTGTTTGCAACCAAGCATTTCCTTCTTGCAAGATGCAAAGCCTCTGACAGCCAGAGTGAGGGTTATTAACCCCTTCTCTGGGCGAATCTTGTCTTTAATTCTGCCTCTGCACACCCAAGGTAGCCAGGCTGTGGAAGAACAGCTCTCCAGGGATACACGTCAGCATGACTGAATGCCTGTGCCCCCCCTATCCCTAGCAATCCAGTGCAAGCTCTGTAAAGGAAGTGGGATGCTCACCACTGCATCCCAACACCTGCTGTGCTGCCAGGTACAGAGGAGGCATTCAGTAAATAAATGTTAAATACATGAAAAGATGTATTTCACAATAGTAATGCCTATGCCAATGAGATAGTGAAATAATTTTTTATTTGCCTGTTCCTCCACTAAATGGGAATTCCTTGAATGCAGGTATCTTTCCCTAGTCATCCTGCATTCCAATAATTGCATAGTGCCTGATAAAGGGTAGGCAACTCATTTGTTGAATGAATGAATGAACGAATGAATGAATGGACAGATACACAAATTAATGGGTTCATAAATATATTGTGATTGCCGTGAATTCAGACTGAGTTCATTTAGAATTATGATGACTCTGCTAAGGACCAAGAAGAAACTTTCTTACATCTGAGACGAGAATTTGCCAAGGAAATGAAGAGTGTGAACACAAGTGCGGACGCACACTATCTAGAATAGAATTCTATTTCACATCAGAGCAGAAAAAGCCACTAAAGATCATTTAGTTCAAATTGTCCCAGCTTCATATTTCAGAAAGGGAAACTCAAGCTCACAGAGTAGAGAAATTTGGCCAAATCACCGGCCTAGCCTCTGGGTCAGCCAGGATTAAAACCCAGGGCCGGGGCCACCACTTTAGTGTCCTTTCTACTACTGCATTGGTGATATCAATACTTCAATGCAGCCTGAGGCCTTTGTAGCAATTTATTTTGTACTCCTCTGATGTTTCTGAGTTTCCTAAAATGAGAATATTACATTCACAAACAGATTTTATAAAAAAAAAAAACAAGGTAAGATGCATGTGAAATATCCTTAGGCATATTAAAAACATACATTTATATGTGGTTAATAATGTAGGCCTAAAAAGAGTTTACTCTCTTCATTAAAGTGGTTCTCATAAGGGAGTTCAATTAGGTGAATTTCTATTTGGCTGGTTACCAGAATTTTATGTTATCATCTATAGATAAGCTGTGTTGGTTTAAAAATATTTATCTCCTAACTCCCATGTGTTGAGTTCTCATTCTTTGGTACACACATTCTCACTCAATAAACTTTTGAGTAAAAACAATAGAACTTCCTGACCATGAACAGTCTGAGACTATCTTGTGTGGTGCTCTTCTAAACCACTTCAAAGTAGAGAATGCTTTCCTGTTCATGACACAGGGCCAGAGGGCTGGTGAAATGGTTCAAAGT